GGTTCTGAGCCCCAGCCCTGAGCCAGACTCGGTTCTGAGCCCCAGCCCTGAGCCAGACTTGGTTCTGACCCTGAGTTAGTTCTGAGCCCCAGCCCTGCGCTCAAGCTCTGACCTCGAAGCACCCCAAAACGTGGAGGCTTGAGGCTCCTCAGCACTTCCAGCTCACAGCTCCCAGCAGAGAGGGACTGACAGCACTTTGGAATTACAGCCTTGCTCATGCTGAGGGTATTTTTAGGCAGCCTCAAGGCCACAACTGAGTTCAAGTTGATACTGGAAGTTGATACTCCCAGCACAGGAATAGATCCTGTGACCCCCAGAAACCAAACTCCTGCAGGCAGATGGTGCTGAGGAGTTGCAGGGACATCTTTAAACTCCACCAGGGCAGGATCCCACCTCTCATGGCACAGGATTGTCCTCCCAGCACATGGAAACCCTTAAAAACTTCAGGTAGGACAGAAAGAGGTGGAAGTTCAGCTCCTCACCAGGCAGAGGGAGCTGCACCAACAGCCCATCCACGTTTGCATCGTTGTTGAGTTTGCTGATCAAATCCAGCAGCTCCTCCTCAGTGATGGAAGCTGGTCTGAGGATGGTCTCACTGCTGATCCCTGGAAATCATCCCAAACACCTCATTAGTGAGCCCAGGCTATGCACAAGGCAGCAACATTGCTGATCTTTGTGGATTTAAGCCCCCCTGTTTCATTGCTCTACCAGATCCCAGGAGTGCACACCAAGGACTGGATGGATTAGGCAACAAGGAGCAGCTTCCAGGCTGGAGAGACCTTCCCAAGCCTTCCCAGGACAATTATATGGGATTAATGACCTGGGATAGAGTGTTTGAGTTTCTCACAGTGCAGGGAGGGATTAGAGAAACCCAGCCAAGGATGAAAATAAAACTACACATCCTGTGAGCCCTCTGGGCACAGGAGGAAAGGGATGGCAGCTTAAAAAAATCTCAGCTCCAAAAATCTCCAATCCAAAAAAATCTCTCAGCAGTGCAGAACCCAAGTTAAAATAACACCATTTCTTGCCCCAAACCCTGAGCAGGACCTTGGATTGCAAGATGGGAAGAAGTCAGAGCACCGAGGCTGAACAGTGACTGCTGAGGTGAGGAAGGGAGGCCAAAAAGCCCTTCCTGTGCTTTTTACGCCTCTGGGAAGGCTGAAAATCCCAAGCACAGAGCTTGATGTTGCCCTGAAGGACCCCAATGGCACATGGGCAATGTTTACCAACCCCACCCCAGGACAACAAGAACCCAAATTCCAGGTGAAGGTGGGCAGAGGTGAAAAGCTGCCAGATGGATTCAGCCCGAAAAGCTTCCCCCGGCCTCCAGCCCGGAGGAT